CCCTGACCCACAGACCCCTCCCTGACCCACAGACCCCTCCCTGACCCACAGACCCCTCCGACAAGAACAGCAGGACAGCAAAAGTCAGGCTTTGGATACACACGCAGGGTGCATCCACCTCGCCAGTGTGAATGTTATAAACATTCACGTTTAAAGTCGGTATTTGTCACGCGCGCGCGGGGGGTGGGTGCGTGCGTGCGTGCGCGGGTGTCTACCGCGGATAACAGAGCAGGCAGGAGGGGGAGGAGGAGGAGAAGAGCAGTGAACTTATTTCTAATTTTATCTGACTTATATAATTTAATTTTTATTGTTTTTATCGTCCTGCAGGCTCTGATGGAAAATTAATTTGAAGCTGAGATTTGTTTTTTACAAAAATCGTTAGATTTACTCTAAAGCAAAATGAGGGAAAATCTGTGTCAATTACAGACATTCTGTTCACGTGAGCAGCTCAGTCAGCACCTGTCAACCTCCAGACACACGACGGAGCGTGTCTGAACCAATCACTTTTGTTGACATTGATCAGCTGACTGATTTAAATACATCTTAACATTCATGAGGTACTTTACATTGACTGTTTATGGTTGAGTGTGGGCGTGTAGAGGGTAGAACCTGAGGTGGGACCTCGTGCGCAAACTCTTGAGGTGCGGCTGTGATTTATAAAGGAAAGAGGCGCAGAAACGTGCGTACGCACTGTTTTATAAATCTGAAATTTTTTTGCATACGCCATTTCTGCCTTTTGGCCGTACGTTCACTTTTAGTATGGTTTCCACGCAATCCTTTATAAATGAGACCCCTGGTCTGTTTGGCTCAGACAGGACTGAACTCATTACATCCACTGATAACATTATGCTCAATCTCATCTGTTGTCTCAAGATGTGTAAGCTGTTGGAGAAATAGTTAAAGGTTACTTTCAGTTACTACCACACCAAAGTTTAGCTCAACATCTGTAAAACTGACAGCGTTGGAGCAATCTGTGTATGTTTGGTAAGGCTGATTTGCTCAGAGGCCTATTGCACAAAAGTCAGATTTCTAAATTCAGGATATGAGCTGTAAGCCGAGGTTGAACTAGCCTCCAACTTGTAAACAGCTGTAATCAGTTGCTCTAACACCAAGCCGCGCTCAATTAGGGTGGTTCATTCAAGTCAGGTGTAAATGGTTTAGGAGTAATGCACGTTCACGGTTTGTTTACTAGACCCACTGGGTGGATCAAAGATTTCCTGATCAGGCATGCGCAGTAAGACACGCGAGTCTCACTTCCTCCAGCAGTTTAATGGTTAATTATGATTCATATGAWGAGATGAAGAGAAACACCGACTGAATGCTGAAATAATTTCAAAAGTAAAAACTCTTTGTGTCACTGAATCTGTCTGCAAGTTATCTGAGATTAACTAACTAAACAAAAATTAAAATGAACAGCTGATCGCTCACTTCAAATGATCGCTGTAGGAAAAGACGAGGAAGGGAAGGTGTCCTCCCCTTCTCTAAAGAGATCTACGTTCAAAACTGCCCAAGCCTACMTGCAACCCACCTCCGTGGTGGAGGTGGGTGTGGCCTGTAGCAGGAACAAAGAAGGGGAGGACTTGTCATATTATTTTATAGACTATTTTAAAGGTGAAGCTGAGGTTAAGTCTTTTTTTAGTTATTCTTTTTCATGGATAATCTGATAAATTAAATAAATATATTTATTCTGTTATATTTTAATGCAAAGATAAAAATAATACATTTAATAAGTGTGAAGAACTGATTTCTGATCAGACACTACATAAATTAGCCATCTTAAAATAAGTGAAAACTACTAGATTAGACCCTTATTCTTTTTCAAATTAATAATAATTAATAATCTGCAGTTTGACAGTTGCACTTGGTAAGACTTCTTGAAGTAAAAAAATAAACTTTTCAGGTTAACAAGATTAATAATCCAACATATTCTGATCTTGTTTAGTATATGGGTCTAAGAACAAGATCAAAAATACTTTTTAGCTGATATAAGACTGTAAAACTTGGTTAGAGGAACATTTTTCTGCAGTAAAGTGACTACACTGCTCAAAAACACTAACAGATTAAATAAGCTTCACTTTAAACCTGGTCAGGACCAGGTTAGTTTCAGAGCACTTGTTACCACAGAAACATAAGTGCTTCCTCTGTCATGCAACCGATTCAAGGCTTAATTAATTTAGGTTTACACCAAAATCCTGGGTTAATCCCTATCCTAGATTTGTGCAATAGGCCTCTGGCAGTCATCCTGAATGGTGTCGACTTCAGAAGTTCATCAGTTGTAGATTCACATCCAGTACTTATTTTCTGAAAGTTTCATTAGAATCTGTCCAGTGAGATATTTTACTAACACTACAGTCAAACACTCACACAGGCAATAACATTATCACCATTTCACCTTTGGTGGTGGAGGTGCGAAGATAAAAATATGGAATACTCCTTTGACTGATTCAGTAATTCAACATGAGTGGTTGCGAGGCTGTGGCTCATATTAAAGTGATCTTTTGAAGTGGGGTTCTGTGGAAAGATATGGACAATATCTTACCTGCTGTAGATAGCTCTTTGAACAACCTCAGTTTAGAGAAACTAGCTTAAAGTTTAATTCGTCCTGATGGTCAAGTGGTCCAAGGCCAACACAGAATACTGCCATTTTAAAATGACTAATTTCTAAAATCTCAAATTGGCATTATGCGGTTCTTTACTCAGAATTTCATGGTTATTTTCCAGCAGAAATAAGATCAGCCTCTAGCTGCAGCACCTACAGGTATAATCTCAGATTTTTTTTTAGAATGTATAAAAAAAGTAACAGTGAAGTCAAGCTTTTTAAAATTTTGTTAAAAAAAAGGAGCCACTTAGATTTATTTTCAGATTGGAATTTGTTTTTAGACAGCAGCAATCCACTTACTCCAGGATTAGCTCATCACTCTGGTCCTAGTTATGTTTCTCTAAATGTTGGTCTTTCAAAGAGCGATCTACAACATTGCTTTAAACATCATTTTATAAAACATATATTTATACCTCTTTACCTAAAATATTGCTGCCTGAATCCAATAATCACTTCTAAAAACTACAGCGCACACTTATATTAAAAAGCTGGAGAACACTAACAAACCTTAACCTATATTTTCTGTCTTGTCCGTATTCAACCATTCTCTGCTTAATCTGAGGCAGATGACAAACCTTGGCATTTTTCCTGGAAAAATGTTTGTTGGTGGACTTATCAAACATGACTCACCCTGAGGGCAAGGCCTCCAGATGCCAGGTTTTCATTTGCTCAGGTCGGGTGTTGGCTACCATTGCAGGGAGATKGACACTAATAACAGTGTTTGGAATTAAGCAGCAAAACCCTAAAATACACACTTACGTCCTGTTGGTCTTGCTGCTCGAGCTGGACCTGCCTCCAATGGTGGGGATTCTCCTGACGATGACAGAGGAGCCTTTGGGGATCAGACCTTCATCGTCCGTGTACTCTGGGAGGAGGGGAAGAATGAAAAAGTTTAAAAACTAGTTTGTTTTAGTTGTGTTCATAAATTTCAAAGTCATTTAGACAGAGAATTACGCGGCAAGAATTACGGCTAGAATCTGTTTTTAGTTCAACCTCCCAAAGAACAAGGACATTTTGAAATTAAGTTTTGTGGAAAGGGTATGAACAACTAATATCTTACCTGCTGTAGATGTTCAAACAATATCAATTTGGAGAAAAATCTTGTCCTACTGAATTGATGAGCCGACGGCTAGTCCAAATGCAGCTACCACCAAAGTGGATTGTTGTCTGCTTAAAACAGCGTTTTTAATGCAAAGAGTTGCTAAGAAATTTTGAAAATTGGAGTCTTTTAAGGACAAGAACAATCCACCTTGGTCTAAGCCTTTCATAGGTTAGTCATTAGCTTGTCAGAATAAAGCTATTTCTCCAAACTGAAATATAGTGATAACAGGTAAGATATTTACTAATCGCACCCATCCAACAGAACCCCGCTTCAGAAAGGATTGGAAACATCCCTTTAAATTCTCCAATGATGACAACTACAAGAAAGCTGTAAATTAGGATTTAAAAAAATAAATAAATAAATCGCTTTTAACGTAAATGTTTAAATATTCGATCAACCATGATAGTTGGAAATTAAATATCCATTGAAGACTTCCTAGATTTGTCTTAATCCAAGTTCCTGACTTTGTTAAATTGTGAAAAAAATATGTGAAAGTACACGAATCCTCAGAAAACAGCAACCTGAGTTTTCACAGCACTGTTGGTCAACTTGAGAGGTTTTCTCAAATGAATGTGCTCATTTTTTTCTGTTATTTTCTAATCTCTAAATCTTAAGGGTGTTTCCTCTCAGTGTTTTCTGAGCAGGTCAGACAGCTTATGGGGGATTTTAAATTTCCTCCACAGGATGCTGACACAACACTAATTACCTTAAATGTGATATTCATGCACCTTTTCTTCTTTTGACGAGTGTAGTTTAGCTCCTGCTTTGAGGGTTACTTTTGATTTGAGTGTGTGTGTGGTTTTATTTAGCCCCCTTTTTTTGGGACAGGATTTTGCTAGTTTTAACCCACATCTCTGCAAATAAAAAACAAAAACAAAAACACTGCTCCACCATCAGGATGTTTAATTAAGAATAAATCCAGCAGGAATGTGGCACCATTCATTTAGAGCCCTTTGTTGTCCTGGTTTGACTTTTCTGGACCTGAAAAAAGGGGGGGACTCTCACCGAACCAGCTGTCAAAGCCGGACCACGTGTTCTCCAACAACCTGCCATTCAGCTGCAAAGGGGGGGAAACACAACTCTTACCACTCCAGAAACAAGTTTTTCGTCATATTTATTTGTTTTTACCTTCTTTGGTTTGCGCGTTTGTGATCTGCAGGTCGCAGTCTCCAGCTCTGAGCTTCTCCCTGCTCATGATCTGCCTCTTCAGGTCACTGAGCGTGACGTGCAGGCCGTCAAACACCGCCGTGTCGTAGCTGAGTTTGGACGAGAATTTATAATGAATATGAATCATGTTTTAAAAAAAGAGTTAACCAAGAAAAAAACCCGGTTCTGAAGTGTCGGGCGGCGGTTCGGCAGGGGGAAGAAACTAGCTGACGTTAGCAGCCGGCTGCGGTGAGGAGCGTCGGTCCGTGTGGGGTGGTCCACCGCTAACAACAAGCTAAAAGTCGGCTGATAAAGTGCCGCTCACAGGATGACATGTCCCGGTTTCTGTCGGAACAGAAGCACAGGGTCGACTCGAACCCTATTTCGTCCGTTTCGAGGCTAATTTTAACTTTTATTCGCGGTGACGCTGCTTTCAATCCGACGAGTTGGCTGACAGAAACCACCAGCTGTTTCCACAAGCAACGGCTCGTCAGCACAGTGCACGCGCCCCTCCCGCGCTGCGTTCAAGGCCTCCCCGTCACACTCCTGATTGTTCACTCAGTGTTTTCTCTTGCTCCACAGCAAAGCGTTCAAATAACTTTCATATTTTTTTGTCCAAAAGTCTTATAATTTATGTTTTACGTATAAACAACGTTCAGGTTTTTTTTAGTCAAGGTTTGTTAGTTACAAATGGTTTCAGCTGGTGAAACATGTAACTGTGTTTTCATTGCTCCAAGGACATGATTTTGTTTGCCAAAAAAAAAAGTCAATTCAATCTCTGTGTTATGTCTTTAAAATTAGGACACAAACTACAAAACACGTCACACTTCTGAGGTAAAAATGGTACACGTCCACTTGGCATTTTTCATTTAGGCATTTATTTATTAGTGGATCTGTAATGTTCACATTTCCCCCCAGAATATATCCATTCTAAATAGGAAGTAAATGCTGGTTATCCAGTACAAAATAGCAATCATATACAAGCACAAATTAACAAAGTTGTGTAGGCTACTGTTTATTTAGCTCAATAATAAGATATATTACCTTTTTACTTGATGTTGGTTTACTGACGCATTTTTTTCCTACATCCCTTGAAGGCATCATTTTGTCTCAATGCAGTGCACCTGTTCTAACTCAAAAGAACAAGTGGATTTAATGTGAGATTGAGAATTACGTGTAAGGCCATAAAATAAACCATTACGTTAACTTTTGCAGTTAATCTATAATGAAATATTTGTTTTATTTCAAATGAACATTTACGTTTTAAAACTGCATCAAAATGCCAGCCCAAGTCTCTTGCAAGCAAGCTTAAAATGACAGAAAAATCTAAACTCTTGAAAAAAAGGCAAATACAATAAAACAAAAAACCACAACATAGTTTGATGTCACTTCACTAAAAATTACAGTTGCTAATTTGTTATGTTTGTGTACTACCAAAAAACATCCACCAGAGAGCAACAAAACACCACTAAAAAACAACAGAGTCTCGATAGTCTATTTTCTTTAGCAAATTTAGTATTTTTCGACAAAGAAAAACGTGTCCAGAGAGTTTCAGTATCATATTTCCAAGATCAAACATGCTAAGTTACTGTTTTACAATGAAAGAAATCTAGTAATTTAATTTCTGACAATACAATACAGATTTTTATCTACATACTAAGTGTGAATGCTTTACATTCACTGTTAAAATATAAATTTAGATTATTTGAACATTAGCTGCCATTATCACTATGTTGTTAGTARAGGTGTGATAGTTACATTTGAATGATTGAATTAGCAACACCGTTATTTAGTCATTAAAAGAACAATTATTTTATTTTTTGAGAGTTTCAGTTAATATGTTGGAAAGCCCAAATGGATGGAATTGCCATGCATTAATATACCATTTTTTTTTTTAGTAAAACTAGGTACCTGCATGGGGGGAAAATAATGAAAGGCCTAACATTCTTTCAACAAATGCATTTCAACTGCTGCCTTTCATGCCTATGTATGAAAAAATGTAAGTTTAAGTGAGTTTTTAATTAAGAAAAGATCATAATTTCCGAGGTGAGGCGATACAACCCAATGCTCTGAAATCCACTGTGGATAGAATGACAGATCGAAAAACTGGGAGCTTGGAAGAGGAAGAGGATTTGAGCATGTATGCCTGGAACATTTCAGAAAGGTATGGTGGAGATGAAAGTGAGGAGGAAACTAATAAACTCAGTGTTATGGTTGACAGGAAGCCAGTGGAGTTATGGTATGTGACAAACATCACATAATTTTGTCCTCAGCCTCAAGTCGTGCTCCCCTTCTTGGCTAAAGTCACCGGGCAATTTTTTTTGCCCCCCTCACCATTATTACGTGATTGGTCAGAAGTTCGTGGGCATCTTTATTTATGCAGAAAAACCCTCAGACAGCAATGGCAGCATTTTGCTTCAACTACTCTGCTTCCAGAAGCCAACTATTGTGCGTCAAAACAGCGTGAACAGCCGTACAGAAAGTCTTTAACACTTCCAGACACTTATAATGTTTGTCAAATGGCCAAAAACTCATGGATGGAGAAAGCGCAAACATTGTGCACAGAGGAACCTGTCTGCCAAAAAGTGTTGTGCCCTATCTGTGATAGATTTGTGGCCAAACGGTGGACACAGGAGTGCTGTCTCGAGGTGCTGTTACAGTGGGAAGGGTTTCCCAGGAACTCCGCACTGTGTCTTGTGGACCCTGAAAGGTGTGTATGAAAATGAATGTTTCACACACGTGACTGTGCATTGACTGTTTGGTTTCAGATGGAACAGGCTGGGCCCTTGAAGAGAGCAGGATTCAAAAGTTCTTATCTTTTCCAAAACAGCCAAATACAATAGGTGTAAGAAAATGAATTCATAGCAGTGAGGCAAATAGGTTGTTGTCTGTGTATTGGTAACATTTCTGAAAATACTTTATATTGAAACTATGGTCTCTTTTGATGTTACATCACTCTTTACGTGCGTTCCTGTTGATAAGGCAGTGGATGTGGTCTGTGCAAGATTAAAATCAGACACCACTCTCAGCAGCAGAACCACACTTTKCACAGAACAAGTGTGCCKASTCCTCAWACTGWGCCTGGAGTCAACCTACTTCACGTACGGGGGGCAATATTATAGGCAGAAACATGGGTGTGCCATGGGATCCCCAGTTTCTCCTATTGTTGCAAACCTGTACATGGAGGAAGTGGAAAAGAGAGCCTTGATGTCCTTTTCAGGGGTGCCACCGAGCCATTGGTTCAGATACGTTGACGACACCTGGGTTAAAATGAAAGCCCAGGAAGTCCAACATTTCACTGATCACATCAACTCTGTGGATGAACATATAAAGTTCACATGAGAGGATGTAAAAAATGGCAGGTTGACATTCCTGGATTGCGATGTCTCGGTTTTGGATGGAGGACGGTTGGAAACTGGCGTATATCGTAAGCCCACCCACACAGACCAATATTTGTGTTTTGACTCCCACCACCCACTGGAACACAAGTTAGGAGTGATCAGGACTCTGTACCACAGAGCAGACAGTGTCCCTACAAACCCAGGAGCCAGGCAGAAAGAGAAATCTCACACAAGACAGGCCCTGGAGCAGTGTGGTTATCCTGACTGGGCTTTCCTGAAAGCAGACAGGAAACAGACAGGATTCCACGCAACCTTCAGGTGAAAATGAAGACCCCAAACCCAGACCCAAACCAGTGGTTATTCCATATGTTGCGGGTGTTTTGGAGAAACTGAGACGTTTATTTTCTAAACATGATGTCCCAGTGGCTTTCAAACCCCAAAACACATTACGGCAAAGGCTGGTTCACCCCAAAGATCCGGTGCCCCGGCACAAACAGAGCAATGTTGTATATGCTGTTAAGTGCCAGGAGGACTGTGACCAGTTATACATCGGGGAAACAAAGCAGCCACTGTTCAAAAGAATGTCCCAACACAGACGAACTACATCTAATGGCCAGAACTCTGCAGTTTTCACTCATTTGCAGGCCAGCGGTCACTCTTTCAGAGATGAGGATGTTCTCTTTCTTGATAGAGAGGAACGTTGGTTTGAGAGAGGAGTAAAAGAAGCCATTTTTGTAAAGAAAGACCGTCCGTCATTAAACAGAGGTGGAGGCCTACGTTTTCAGTTGTCCCCCTCCTACAGTGCGGCTATTGCCAGTATCACTCCACCCCCTGTTAACAATAGGTGTTAATTAGGTGTCAACGATAGCCATGTGATGTGAGTATCAGTCACATGGAGGCAGGGCTTAAAGGCCTGAATTTTGCCTGAAACTCTCAGACTGAAGAAGTCTCTTYGAGGAGAGACGAAACGTTTCATTAGAGAAGAACCCGTCCAGAAGACCTATACAATTTTTTTCTTTTTGATTTTTACCTGGATTACTGAGATGCATCAGGACACACTTTATACTGTTGGTAGGGTAAAGAAATAGTTTTAAAAAAGGCATGGTACCCAGCACTGAGTCCTGGCGAACATCAATAATAAGTAGGAAGGGTTGGACACTTTGAAGGTGAGTTCAGTCAGAGAGGCTTGATGCAGACCTGAAAGCCAAAATGTTAATATAAAGAAAGTTGCTTATGGGCAATTGTTGAAAAGAAAACCTGCGACATCATCCAGGTTTTTGGGGGACGCCATTGAGAAGCTGACTGTGAGCTGATTGGCTGGATTCAGATAAACGAAGCGATAAGAAGAACACACGTGAGAAGACTGTTCTGCTCTCAGTCTGTTTGTGCCTGCTCTGCTCAGAGGAAGGATTTGCCCTATCTTTCTTAGTGCACCATTGTGAGAGCAGTGGGTGGATGAAAAGATGCAGAAGGAAAGAAAAAGCGAGGGAGAGGATGAAAGGGAAGCAGCTTGCCTTTAAACTGACGTTCTGCTTATCACGACATGATAGAATAAATGTATGTTCAGAGAATTAACCATCAAAGAGCTGCTCAGAAACAATTACTTTCTGAATTTTGTGTGCTTTTATTTGAATTTTTGCATCTTTAAACTGTGGAATATGGCATGCTAAAATGGGAGCACATTTCTCTGTAGTGTGAATATGGATTTTTTTTTCCTGTGGAAAAAAAGCATCAGTAGATTTAATGTAAAAATTGACGGTGTCTCTGGTCAAAACACTTCCTCCAGATGGTGCATACAGTGGTCCATTCAAAACTAGAGAGAGCAGAGTTTCAAGCTTTAAAACTGTATGAGATGCTTTGTTTATGAGAGCTAAAGTCGTATGCAGGTTAAACTCACTCCCCTCCCATATGCCGGTTTRTAGGGTTTGTAATGTTTTTTTGGGGTTTGCAAGAAGTTCCAGGTTTAAATCCCAGACGAGCCCCCAAATATGTTGTAGTCCGAARATCTAAGAGTTTGACCCAGGACACACAACATTTGCAGTTTAGAGTATGTTTTGTTTTAACAATGTTTGTTGGGGTGGCTGTGGCAGAGTGGTTAGGGTGAGTCATCCTGGAACCGGAAGGTCACCGGTTTGATCCCCCGTCCAGCTGTCTAAGTTGTGTCTTTGGGCAAGACGCTTCACCCCAATG